GGATTTGCCTAAAATATATGAACGGTTGCAGGATTTGGGTTTGGCTAGCCTAGATAAAAGAATGACTGGGGGGGGGGGACATGATAGTAGTATTCCAGTATTTGAGAGGTTGCCACAAAGAGGAGGGGGTCAACTTATTTTCCAAAGAACCAGAGGGGCAGGACAAGAAACAATGGATGGAAACTAATCAGGGAGAGAAGCAACCTGGAATTAAGGAGAAACTTATTAACAGTGAGGGTAATTAACCAATGGAACAGCTTGCCTTCAGAAGTCGTGGGTCACGAGTTTTTTAATAAGAGACTGGACAGTCACTTGTCTGAAATGGTATAGGGTCTCCTACTTGAGCATCGGTTGGGCCACTAGAAGACCTCCAAGGTCCCTTCCAGTTCTGTTCAGATGGATGGGAAGAAGGAAGGAACGAAGGAAGGAAGTTTAATGGGAAGCAGCAGAAAGTCAAAAGTTGCTCCTGCTTCCAATGCTTTTTTACCTGTCCTTGATCATCTCGTTTCTCTGTTTAAGTAAGGTAATATCTCTGAAATCATGACCCAGTGGAGCACAGGTTTACTATTGCTCAGTAAGAATAAGTATTACAAAAAGCAATACTTCAAGTAAAGCTGCTTCCCCAAATAATGTATTCCCCTGCTTCTAGAGAGCTTTACTTTATATCTTTGATCTCTGAAGAAAGAGTGGATGGGCAAATAAAGTGACATATAGTACCCATCTGCAGAGATGAATAGTGTCACTTTTTTTTTCTCAGTGGAGCAAAAACACTGTCTCCGCAAGCAAACACCCGCACTCCACCCCATCCCTTTGAAGTAAATTAGAACCATCCCACAGTTGAATTTGATGTAATAGAAGCTTCTGTGAAGAGAATACAGGAGCAGGAAAGTAATTTTTTAATACAATTTTCTCTCTTCTAATCAAGTTTTCTGTGCTGCTCCGGGATTTCAGATTTATAAATAGTTGTATTAATTGTTGATACGGTTGAATACATTTTTGGAAAGACATAGAATATTGTTGCCTTCTTTTCTGGCTCCTTATGCAAGAGGTTAAAAAAATCAATGAAACTGAAGGAAGGTTGCATAAATAATGCATTGTGTACTGTCTCAAAATATGTACTTGACTAATGAACCATTTGCCCCGAAGTTTGGACAAGTTCACCTCATGCTTTTGTAGATTTTATTACTTTCAGACAAGTCATAGTGCTTTTCATTGTGTGGTAGGATAGTTCTTTTATAACATTATTAACCTGTTTTAAGGCTCATTTAGAATTGCCTGCAATGGCCCATAGCGGTCGTAACATACTTACGCTATGAAAGGATGGCTGGGTAAGCATGCATTGCAGATGGTTACAGAGAGGCCAATGCAAACACCTTCCAAATCCCAATTAACTGTTGAGGGGAGGTACGCATGCTGTGTGCTGATTGGTGATCTAACCTCCTGTTTTATGCTTTGCTGTTTGAGTGTCCGTCAGCCAGAAAGTTAAAATTCACAGACATGTGAATGCAACAGCTATGTAACTGTGAATGACAGGCACATATGTTCCCTCCCTCATGTACAGTGCCAGAGAAATCTACTTGACCCTTTATTCAGAACTAGCCGATAACCTGGCATTGCCCAGGTATTTATTTATAGGGGGGAAATGTCCAGACCAAACGTAATTTATAATGTTAGATTTTCCCCCTTACTAGAGGGAGCCCCCTTATGGAGAACTCTGAAGCCATTACCATAGAAACTCCATTGTACTGTACAGTAGAATCCATTTTAAGCAGTACAGTATAAGCCATTTTAAGCCACAACAGGCTGCATTGTAACAGAACACACACCCAGGGTTGTAGGGGTATCTTACCCTCACAGTATTTGTTTCCAGAGAGTAAGTCATTTGTGTACCAAGTTTAGTTGAAATTGCTTGAGGCATTCCAGGGTTATGCTGGAACACACACACAGACACACACACGCACATGCACACACATATACATATATGTTGTGACCCCCCTCGTCCCACACCAACACACTCCGAGCCAAAGATACTTTATGGAATTTATTAACAGACAGACAGGTCCTTGGCAGCAAACCGGCACAGACACGCCTGGGCAGCAACCCAGCACAGATAAGCCCAGGCAGCAATCCAGCCTGCCAAGCTCACAATGCTGTTCTCCAACATTAGTTCCTGTGTTGACTTCTACAAAAGGGGCGTATGCACAAGCATTCCTTTTATAGTCTGGAGAGGAGTGTGTTTACCAGCATCTGAGTGCAATTACCTCCTGTAAGTACGCAACTGTTCCTTACTCTTATTAGTTCTCCGGTCCCGGGCATCCAGGAAA